TGAGGCTTTCTGCTACTGTAAAGATTTATAGCCTCAGAAACCCTGTGCAGGGTCACTATGAGTTAGAACTGACTCTGTGGCACACCACCACCACCACATTAGATACTCATTCCGTTTTATTGCTACAGTTTGCCCAGATGAGAGATAGAGTGTTAAGAAGAGAGATTAGAACGACCTGCCTGCTGTTTGCTACAGTTGAAATTAAGGCATTGTGAAATATTTTTTTCCTTGGAATTACTAACTTCAGAAATGTTCTCACTTAAATTTTGACTAGCAAATCACCAAAAACTGAATGGATTCTCTAATTTTCCACAACTCAAAATGCATTGATTTCAATCTCATTAGCAATGCCCATATTATAAATGAAATAGCTAAATATCAACTATGATTTGAACCCCTATAATATGTCCACATGTATCATTTGCTCTACATAGGTATATCATTTGTCTCTATTTTTTTTATTCTATCAGCAACTCCATTTGACAGGCAGATAATCTAAGTTGGAAACACAGTTTCAACTTCTGGTCTTTTTGACGATAAAGACTTAACTAGAGCAAGCAAACTTCAGTTCAAAAGAAATTGTAATAAAAAATTAAATTCCTTAATTGGTTTGCTCCCCAGTCAGCTTTAACACAAGAGCTTCAGTTATAATGAGTTGGTCCAAGGAAGCTGAGTGAGAAACTTGTGTTCACCAAGATTCTTTACACTTTTCCAGTTATTTCCCCCAGAAAAGTCCCACAGTCAAGTTCAAACAGCAGACTGCGCATTACAAACCAGGGGCAGATTTATTGTAAAAGATCACCATAAAAAATACCATCCCACATGTCTTAGGAAATGAGTGAAAAGTTCTAGTTTTTAATATGATCCTCTGGCTGATACTTGGTGACGCATTTTAAGAAACTGGGTCAACAACTAATAACTAAATCCTTTCTCTGCCTGAACAGTAGAAGGCACTGGAAAGGGGGCTGGCTTGTAGAGCACTGGATGCTTACTTACCTATCTAGCAAATCCTGAAAAACAGTAGGACTGACTGGCCCCCAGTGTCTCTCAAGCCCCTGCATGGGAGTCCAAGTGCTTGATACAAAGGCTGTTAATTTTCAAGTATCTCTTTGATGTGATTTGATACAGATGTTTGAAGGAAAAGAAAAGCGATTGGAATTGATCCAGGAGTTACGCACCAGCCACGCTCTACAAGAAGATGACAGGCTGCTGAAGAAAGCTGAGAAGCAAGTGACCCTGGCCTTACAGCGGCAGAGGAACCTGCATGAACACAAGGTTCTTCTTCCCTTTTCTTTCTTCTTACTGTCTTGTTTCATTTCTATACCTGGTGGATGTTTTTAATTTTATTTATTTTGTTGTCGTTGAGAATTGACACAGCAGAACATGCCCCAGTTCAGCAGTTTCGACATACATGATTCAGTGACACCGATTACATTCTTCAAGTTGTGCAACTATTGTCATCCTCCTTTTCTGAGTGGTTTCCCCCCATTAACATAAACTCACCGACACCTAAGGTTGCTGTCTAATCTTTCGATTTTCTGTTTTCAATTCAGTCCCATATAGAGACTTGTTAAAAGGGCATGATGCTCAATCAGACATTCTATACTGTTATTAAGTGCCGTGCAGTCAGTTCCAACTCATAACAGTGTTTTGTAGGGTTTTTCAAGAGCGGCTGGGGAGTTTGAACTGCCAACTTTGCAGTTAGTATTCCAGTGCTTATCCTACAGCACCACATACTAGTGAAGCTAAACTCCTCAGTTTTTATTAATGCACAAGCAACATCATAATGGTAATAAAATGAAGACATTAAGTGATAAAAAGAAATGTCCCCCACAACCCCATCACTTGATCACAGCCAGCATTCTCAAACAATGCTGCTGCCATTCCTCATTTAAATGAAATGTTTTCCTTCCTAAACTGAATGCTCCTTTTTTATTTGTAAACTAAACATTCTAAAAGAACACTTTTTGTTTTTCCAACTAAGATTTTTCCTTTCCAATATTTCTTAAATATTTGGAGACTACTGTATTTCAGGAGTCCTGGTGTGGTGTTGTGGAAGCACTGGACTGCTAACCACAAAGCCGACAGTTCAAACCCACTAGCCACTCATCGGAAACTCTACCTATGGGTGGCTCTGAGTCGGAACCATATTGACAGTACTTAACAGCAACAACAACTACATTTCAAGGAGTCTGGTGGCACAATGGGTTGAGCATTGAGGTACTACTTCAAGGTCAGCAGTTCAAACCTACAGTCCAGTCTTCAGGAGCTAGATGAGGCTATCTGCTCCTATAAAGATTTGTCATCTTAGAAACCCTAAGGGGCCATTCCACTCTGCCCAATTGGGTCGCTGTGAGTCAGAATTGACTTGATGGCACTGGGTTTAGGTTTCGGGTTTTTATTTTTGCTACTGCACGTTAGCTAGTGGGGACTAGGAGTTGACAAAATGACTGAAAAATTAATAAAATTCGTAAGAATAAAAATGAGAAATAGGATTTGTTTTTAATTATCAGCATTTAATTTATCTGGCTTTTAGAGCTGCACATGGCCATCCTGGTTAACTTACATATTAAGCACGTTCGTATCTCATGATATTCTGAGACTCTCATTGGACCTCTTGGTTCTCTGTCACCTGACAAGGTTGAGAATTACAGCTTTTACCCAACAACTATAAATGTTTTCCTTGTTCCCTTCCAGCATTTGTCTAGACTTTTACAATTTTTAAATGCTTTTAATTCTAATGTAGATACATTTTTACTCCATCTTCCACTTTTCTTCAAATCTGAAAAAAAAAAAAAATCAATTTTCACAAAGTTTAATGTTGTGTGGAAAGTAAAAGTTAATCTGACTCATCTTTAGTAACATGTCTAACCCTGTGTTATATGGAAACTAGGCCCAAATGGTAAGTAGTTTGAAAATGACCCTATTTCTACTCCTATTTGGGTGATAGCTGAACTTCAGAAGCTACCCGGGGGTGGAGAGGCAGAATGCTGGAGAAAGTGGTGGGACAAGACAAGACAAGAAACAGTGGGACAAGACAAAGAGGAACAAGAGGAAAACTTGGACATTGGAGTCTCTGAACCTGGACATACTCAGATAAGAAGCTAAATGCTCTATTAATACTAGGTCTTAGGATTCTGGCTGGAAAAAATGTTCTTCTGGGCCCTTCTCGGTTTCTACACAGGCAGCTAAGCTAGTCCAGGATTTTCAACTCATCCATCTCATTTAGGTGGATGTATACAGAGTCTTGGTGTGGCACTGCGAGTTAATGCACCAGACTGCAATGCCATTTGAACAGCAAGGTTAGTGGTTCAAGCTCACCAGCTGCTCCTCCGAAACCCTATACAGGGTCGCTATGGGTCAGAATTGACTCGACGACACTTAACAACAACAAATATATGATTAATACCATGCCAACTAAGAGCTCAGGGAGGAGTTAATGGGGAAGACTGTCACTTAACAAGGAGTCACCCTGCTTACCTTCTACCTGGATTCACCTGGGCCTCTCAGAGAACCCCCAGCAATGCAGATCCTCTCCCTTTCTCTTTCTTTTATACTTTCTGTGGAAATATTTCACAAAATGCATAAATCCCCATTATGTGATGCATTACATGATACTAACCTTCCTAAACATTTTTACTTAATTTTCAAATTAGATTGTTTTATGTAAGCATGCCCAGATTTCTTGACATGAGTATAAATCTTGAGATTTAAAAGGTTGCCTTTGCCCTCCAAATAAGAAAGCTCTTGCTCCCTGGTGATCTCCTGGCAGAGTGACCACTGTTTCTGAATGCAAGGAAGAGTGAGACTCTCTTAGTTCCCCCTTTCTTTCCATGTCTTCCTACTATATAAGTAAAGATTCACTTTGAGGTCAGAAAGTGTGTATGGGCTGCTGGATAGAGGTGAGGATGAGAGTGCTGAGGATAAATAACAACCACACTGCCTGAGACCTCATATTTCTACGAGTACCCTCATATTTCTTCCCTTCAGATACAAACCAGAAGAGCTGAGCACATAGGGGAAACTGCCCATGTTAAAGTGGCTTATGATAGAAGAAGAGCTGTTTCCCCTTATACCTGAGGACAGGGGAGGAAATGGGATGAAGCTGTAAAAGATTCAACCTTCGTAAACATTTGTCATCTCCATGTGTCACAGCTAGGCCACAGGAACTCACAAATAGGAATGTGGCTTACTGCTGTAGGAGAACTCCACTGGCCCTTATTTTATCTCAGTGATCACATAGATTGATAGGGGGTTTTTGGTTTTTTTCTGTTCTGTTTCAAAAGGGGTTGTTAATAGCTTTTAAGTCATTTAAAAGAATAAAGAGCACTAAGATTTTCTACTCTAATGTTATTCAAGATCTTAAAATTGCCCAAACTCATAGGGCCCCTGCTTCTGGAGACACAGGAACCCACCCTGAACTTCGCTACAAAAAAAAGTGAACAGAGAATTAATTGCATTTACACTTCTGGTCTCTACCACATTCACCAGGAGACAGATGTTTTGTTCATAAGAATACCAATATGCAATTATCAATTCAATATACATACAACGCCACAATGGCCCAGAGAAAATAGACAATTTCCGCTTATACAAAGAAACAAGACAGACAGTACCTCAAACAAGTGACCAAACTAGACCAAACTGGAGTCTGAAAAAAACAATGCCAGAAATGGTATCAGAACTACCTGATTAGGAATTTAAAAGAATGTTAATTAGGCAACTTCAACAGATTGAGAAACAATGGCTAAACTACATATGAAATCAAGGAAAGCAGATGCCTCTATGGAAAAATTCAGGAGGCAAACTGTGATAAAATTATTGAAAAAAAAAATGTGTACCATACTAAAACAGCAATTAGAAAACCAGATGATTAACATTAAGACTTCATCAGTAGATAATACACTGAAAGAACAAAGAAATGGAAAGTCAAATGACTGAACTTAAAGGAAAATGTCTCAATACTCATCTGCTAGAGGAACAATCAGAAAAAAGAACAAAAAAATCCAAAGAAAGCCTAAGATCTATGTGGGGCATGATCAAGAGGAATTTCAGAAAAGGAAGAGACCGAAAAAAAAAATCTTATAGAGAATGTTGTCCAAGAGTTTCTAGAAGAAAACTTTCCTAACATCATAACAGATGAGAAGAGAGCTATTCAAGAATTTGAACAAACCCCAAACAGGATTGACCCCAAAAGAAAATCACCAGCACATATAATCAAACTTTTCAAAACCAGACAAGGAAAGAATCCTGAAAGCAGTTAAGAAACAATGAAAAGCTACCTTCAAAGGAGAACTAATAAGACTAAGCTCTGATTTCTCAGCAGAAACCATGCAGGGAAAATAAAATGAAATGACATATATAAAACTCTGAAAGAAAAAAATGCCAATCAAGACCCATATATGCAGCAAACCTGTCCATCGAATATGACTGCAAAAGTATGTCATTTTCGGGCAAACAGAAATTAAAATAATTTGTTAAAACTAGACCAACCTTACAAAAATACCAAAGGGAGTTCTTTGAACAGAGAACTAACGACAGTAGACAACAACTTGAGACCAACATATATAACAGTATCACCTAGACTCAACCCAGACATGGAAGTTTGCAAAGTATAAGACTGAAAATACAGAACCAGAGATACAGTTGCAATAACAACAACAACAACCAAAAAAAAAAAAAAAAAAGTGAAAAGAGGGAATAATGTAGTTACAGAACTTCGAAATGAAAAGGAAATCAAATAGATTTCAAGTAAATAATAAATCAAATGTAACCCTAAGAACTAGACGAAGTCTTACTCCTAACCCTAGACCAACCTTTACCCCTAATACTAACCCTAGTCCTAACCATAACCATAATAATAAACAAAGCTGTAGGCCTAGCCTAGACTTCCACATAGTACAAATCCTAACCCTCATTCCGTACTCCTCCTACCCACTCACCTACCCCCCAAAGTGCTCAAACTTGTGTGAAAGAACCAGGCATTAAAAAGTTAAGAGGTATTATGGATAAATTTCTAATCGCCATTCATAGTTGAATTTGAATCCTTAAAATCGTATTATTATTATTTTAGGTGTTATTGGTTGAAAACCATTTAGCTGGACTGGAAGGAAAAGCATTGGCAGACATGTTTGACTTCCTGTCGAAAGAACTGGTAAGACTGCAGGAAGAGAGGAGAATCCATGCCTTTGCCATGCTGGCAGAAAGACAGCGGCGGATACGAGAAGCTGAAGAGAGTGGTCGGCGCCAGGTGGAACAAAGACGCCTGCGAGAGGAGGATCAGATATTCAAGGAGGCAAGTGGGGGTAGCTGGATGCCTAGAAGCTGTAACCATCACCCTGCCCACAGTAGGCATTCCATTAATATATTTAGGTTGGCTGGTTGAAACTGTATGGAATTGGTCACTGGGACTCTCCCAGAAGGAAGGCATAAGGGGATTCAAGGTTATGGACAGGAGCTATACAAGTAGAAACATCGAAAGTAACACATACTCAGTAAATAAGCAGGTACTGAGTTGATACTGAGTCTCAGGTATTTTCTCAAATACAACGAAATATGGAGCCATAGAGTAGAAAAGGGCCTTAGTCTGAGGAGTTCACAGTTAGTTAAGGAGACAGATACATACAATATTAAATGTGCTGCCCTGGATGTTTTTGGTACTTATTTTGTATCTTACCTATAAAACAGGCAAAACTAGGTATAGGTTTCACAAAACTTTAAAGAAAAGCAAGGAAGAGTTTACCATAGAAGGCCTAACAGTTGAAAGAGGCGATGGTTGTAAAGAACCAATGGGTTTTCAGGGACACTAGCAGTGACTGTTTGGGAGCTGGCCTTATGTGTATTCAATTGCACTTTACCATTTTAGACTCTACGCTTTTCTGTATGTGTATTCTATTTCACAACTTAAAAAGAGCATGAAAAAGAAGCAGCCCAGAGCTGATACTATACTTCAATGAATTCATCTGAGACCCAGAGTCCTTTGCACTTTCTGTTCTCCTGTACTTGACGCATGGCCATGTGGCTCAAGGGCTCCAGTTGTCATGTTCCCATTCTTTGTTGAAAGAAAAAGCAATAACTAGCTCTTGCCCTATAAGAATCCTTTCTGCACATTATCACTTTGGTATATAACTACTTGACCAGAACTTAGTCACATGGCCAGACGTAGCTCCCATGCATGCTAGGAAATGCAAGCTCTATTATGGGGACCTAACACTCAGGGCTTCTGTGACTTAAGAAGAATGGGAAATAAATGGCTTGTAGTCTCTGCCTCAGTTAGTTTGACCAAGTCACACTACTGGTAGGGATAGAACCAGGTTCCAAACCAGGGATATTTGTACAATAATGCCTTGCCAACCCTTGAGTAAGGTCCATAATTCTAAAATGAGCTAGGTAGGTGGGGAATGCCCAGAATGAATAGTTAGAGGGATAAGATTGACAGGATGGAAAAGAAAAGTTATTATCAGTGAAGGAACTATTGACTTAACGAATGAAATAGATGTGCCAAGAAATGTATATTTTTCCGGTCTTGTTTACAGTAGCATCCCTACTCTTACTTAGTAAGTGGGTGTGTATTTTGTTTTGTGTAGGTGGTGAAAGTTCACCATAGTACCATTGCCTCCTATCTGGAGGCCATAATACTGAATACTGAAGAGAGTACTGCAGAAGAACAAGCTAGGGAAGAAATTAAGAAGATGGCTGAGGAACTCAATGACATTGCTTTTGAAATGGAAAGCCGGTATGTACCATGATAGAATGAACAACCCCTTTTGCTGTTATTCATTTGCATTTTTCTAGAAGTTTAAGATTTCACCACCAAGGAGAAGCAAATATTTAACTCATGCTTCACCTTTATTAACATAATTTTTAGAATTCAATGTGTCGGCTCTTTTGTATAATGTTGTTGTTAAGTGCCATCAAGTTGGTTCTGACTTGTAGCAATCCTGTATACAACAGAACAAAACACTGTCCAGTACTGTACCATCCTCATGATTCTTACTATGCTTGAGCCCATTGTTGCTGCTACTGTGCCAAGCCATCTCATTTGAGGCCTCCCTCTTTTTCACTGTCTCTCCATTTTACCAAGCATGATGTCGTTTTCCATGGACTGGTCCCTCCTGATAATATGTCCAAAGTATAACAGACAAACTCTGGCCATCTTGGCTTCTAAGGAGCATTCTGGTTGTACTTCTTCCAACACAGATTTGTATGTTCTTCTGGCAGTCCATGGTACCTTTAATACTCTCCTCCAACACTATAACTCAAATGCATCAATTCTTCTACAGTCTTCCTTATTTATTTATTGCCAACTTATTTACCAAATTTATTTATTGCCAACTTTCCCATACATATGAAAGTATTGAAAATACTATGGCTTGGGTCAGGCGCAGTCCTCAAACTGTTATCTTTGCTCTTGCGTACTTTAAAGAGGTCTTGTGCAGCAGATTTGCCCAATGCAATATGTCATTTGGTTTCTTGACTGCTGCTTCTATGAGTGTTGATGGTTGATCCAAGCATAATGAAGTCTTTGACATCAATCTTTTCTCCATTTATAATGATGTTATTTATTGGTTCAGTGGTGAGAATTTTTATCTTCTTTACATTCAAGTGCAACCCATACCAAAGGCTGTGTTTTGATCATCATCAGTATTTTAAGTCTTCTTTCCTTTCAGCCAGCAAGGTTGTATCATCTGCATATCTCAAGTTGTTAATGAACCTTCCTCCAATCTTGATACCACATTCTTCTTCATATAATCCAGCTCAGATTATTTGCTAAACATACAGATTGAATAAGTATGGTGAACAAATAAAACCCTGGTGTACACTTTTCCTGAACCATTCAGTGTCTCTTTGTTCTGTTCAAATGACTGCCTCCTCGTGTATGTATAGGTTCCTTGTGAGGACAATTAAGTGTTCTGGAACACTCATTCTCTACAGTGTTGTCCTCAGCTTGTCATGATACGCACAGTCAAAAAATCTTTGCATAGTCAATAAAGTGCCGGTAAACATCTTTCTGGTATACCCTGCTTTCAGCCAAGATCCATCTAATGTCAGCAGTAATATCCTTCATTCCCTGCTCTTATCTGAACCTCTGACAGTTCCTTGTCAATTTTCTATTGCAGCCATTTAAAATTATCTTTAGAAAAATTTTACTGGCATGTTATATTAATGATATGGTCCTATGATTTTTGCACTCTGTCAGGGTCCCTCTCTTTGGAATGGGAACAAATATGACTCTCTCCTAATCAGTTGGCCAGATTTCTTGGCATAAATAAGTGAGTGTCTCCAGTGCTGCATCAGTTTGTTGAAAGAATTCAATTTGTATTCCATCAATTTCCAAAGTCATTTGCCAATGCCTTCAGTTCACCTTGAACTTCTTCCTTTGGTACCATTGGCTCTTATTAATATGCTACCTCTTGAAATGGCTGGATGGCGACCATCTTTTTTTGGGTATAGTGATTCTGTATATTCCTTCTATCTTCTATTGATGCTTTCTGTATAAGTCAGCATTTTGTCCATAGAATCCTTCAATATTGCAAGTCAAGGCTTGAATTTTTTACTCAGTTCGTTCAATTGAGAAATGCTGAGTGTGCTCTTCTCTTTTGGTTTTGTAAATTCAGACCTTTTTACATTTCAATATAATATTTGGCTTTGTCTTCTCGAGCTGACCTTTGAAATATTCTTTTCAGCTCTTTTACCTCCTCATTTCTTCCATTTGTTTTAGCATCTCTATACTGGAGAGCAAGTTTCAGAGTCTCTTCCGACATCCATTTTGGACTTTTCTTTCTTCCTTGTCTTCTTAATGACCTTTGGCTTTCTTCCTGTATGATTTACTTGATGTCATCCCACAAATCTTCTAGTCTTCCACCATTAGTGACTAATGCATAAAGTCTGTTCTTGAGTTGATCTCTAAATTCAGGTGGGATATGTTAGAAGTTATATTTTGGCTCATGTGAACTTGTTTTAATTTTCTTCCTAAGAACAATTGATGATCCTTTCCACATTCTGCCCCTGGCTTTGTTTTGGCTGATGATAATGGAGCTTTTCTACTGTCTCTTTCCACAGATGTAGTCAGTTTGATTTCTATGTATTCCATCTGGTGAGGTATAGTTGTCTTTTAAGTTGTTTCAAAAAGGTACTTGCAATGAATAAGTTATTTGTCTTGCAAAATTCTATCATCTCCAGCATCGTTTCTATCACCAAAGCCTAATTTCCAGTGAATATTTAATACTTCCTCTTTGTTTCCAACTTTGAATTCCAATCACCAATAATTATAAATACATCTTGATTGCATGTCTGATCAATATCAGAAGTTGGTAGAACTCTTCAATTTCATCTCACTGACTTTAGTGATTGGTGGGTAAACTTAATTAATAATACAATTAACTGGTGTTCCTTTTAGGAATACGAATATTATCCAGTCACAGACAGCATTAAACCTCAAGATAGATCTTGAAATGTTCTATTTGATGATGACTGCAACACCATTCGTCTTCAATTTGTCATTCCCAATATAGTAAACCATGTGATTGTCCAATGTAAAATGGCCAATATCAATCCATTTCAGCTCTAACAATGCCTAAGATATTGATCTTTATGGGTTCCATTTCATTTTTGACAACTTCCAAGTTTTCTAGGTTCATACTTTGTACATTCTATGTTCTGATTATTAATGGACGCATGCAGTTGTTTTTCCTTATTTTGAGTTGTGTCAAAAGAAGGTCCTGAAGGTTTACTCCATTCGCATCATCAAGGTCAATTCTTTGAAGAGGCATCTTTTCCCAGCAAGTCATATTTTGAGTGCCTTCCAACATGAGGGGCTCATCATCCTGCGCTATATATCTGACAATATTCTGGTGCTCTTCATCACGTTCAATATTCAATACTCCAGTGATATCTGACAGTGTTTCATTGCTATTCATAATGTTTCAGTTGCTAAACATTTCAAAGTAATCTGCCTCTCCTTCCAAGGTTGTCTTAGTTTGGAAGCTCAGCTAAAATTTATCCACCATGGAGGACCCTGCTGGCATTCAAAATACATTTGGCATAGCATCTAGTATCACAGCAACATGCAAACCACCACAATGCGAAAAACTGACAGATGAGTGGTGGTTTGTATAATAGGAACACTGAGAATGAATTCTTGGTTGTCTTCTACATCTGGATCATTTTCATATTAGAGTAGTCTAGAATATAAAAGCAATGTGACTAAGTATGTGATACATTATTTTGTCTTTAAATAGCACAACAGAACCACCTAAGGTCTTTGACTTTCATCTGTAAGATGTATCTTGAACACGCCTTTCCTGACAGGCTGCACAAATGGACAGGATTGAAGCCAAAAATTCCATGGACATAACCAAGCTCACCAGTAGTGTGATCTTTCAGATCACTGGCGCTGCAGGATCAGCACTACAAACCACAAGGTCGGCGGTTCAAACCCACCAGCTGCTCCTCAGAAACTCTATACAGGGTTGCTATGAGTTGGAACAGACTTGACGGCACTTAATAACAACAATCAAGGAAAGGGAGATAGAGGCATTTGAGCAGTGGAGTTCCTTACACATGCATGGGCGTTCAAAGAATAAATTGGCAGCTCAAGTAAGACAACAAAGGAAATAATTCATTTGTTTTGTTTTTTCAGTCTAACACAGCTTCAGTCAGAGGAGATTGTTGCTGAATTGGTTTACAGTTTTCTGATTCCAGAGGTACAAAGAGACTTTGTCAAAGAAAAAGGTAAGCCAGGGTTAACACTGTATTTCAGGATTTAAAACTATTTTAATATTCCAGAGATTTAAAATTGACCAGAAGTATAGGGGCATTTCTGAAGGGAGTTTTGTTATTTTTATTTTGGTGCTTTGTACGGTTTCTATGTTCACCAGCTGCTTCTTGGAAACCCTATGCAGGGTCGCAATGGGTCAGAACAAACTAGATGGCACTTAACAACATGCTGTCTGATGTGGTACCCTGGTGTGGCACTGCAGGATAATGTGCTGGACAGCAAAGTCAATTTGAACTGTAATCAGTGGTTCAAGCTCACCAGCCACTCCTCTGAAACCCTATACAGGGTCCCTATGAGTGAGAACCACCTCAATGGCACTCAGCAACAGCAACAGCAATGCTGTCTGATTACAAAATGTAATCACTTTAGTACAAATGGAAAGGGACAATCTAGTTCTACTAATTTTGACAGAGCATCAAAATCCAAACCTAGTTTAAAAGGAAGTTTATTGATACAAGTCCCAGAAGAAAAGTTTTCCTGGTATATTTTCTTTTATACAAAGCATATATATTGAAAAGATGCAAGCTCTTCATACAGTAGCAGCCTTAAGAAGAAAGAAACAGAGAGGAAATGGGATACGTGATGTTACATTATGGAAATTGCAATCCATGGCATGAAACAAAATGTGCATGAATGGTTGAATGAAAAACTGATCTGCTTTATAAATCTTCACTCACTTCAAATTAAAAAGTTAAAAAACAGTAAGTATTAAAAATAATAGTAGTAATCTTTGGAGGCAGGGCAAGTTTATCTTGGGCTTTTCCAAGCAGAGGTGGCTGAAGGTCTGAATTCAGGATGCTGCTCTGTGTGTGCCACAGTTGTCCTATGCTTCTGCAGGGATTGGTTCTAGGTATGGTGGTGGTGGTGTTTTTGTGCCGTGGCGTTGGTGCCAAGTCATAGCTGCCCTGTATGGGGTTTCTAAGACTAAATCCTTACTGGAGCACAAGGCTCATCTTTCTTTCGAGGAGCGACAGGTAGATTCACACTGCTGACCTTACCGTTAGCAGCCTAGAGCCCTTGTACCTAGGTATAATCTATCTTATTTTGTAATTTGTAAAATGTGATTTAAAAAAACACACACATTAAACGGTTTTGTTAGAGACGCTTAGCAAGAAGACTTTGTCCATTTAGTCTAGAAGATCATAGTTTGAAATGCAGACCCTTTCTAGTCATGTTACTATAACCTTGTTAAGCTTATTAGTAAAAGTTTTAGTCTGAGTTATAAATCTAAGCCAATTAGTTTGACAATTTAGGAAAAAAGTAGTTTCTTATATCTTGTTGTTGTTAAGTGCTGTTGAGTCGGTTCCAACTCACAGCAACCCTGCATAGGGTTTCTGAGGGGCAGCTGGTGGGTTTGAATCGCTGACCTTGTGTTTCACTGTCCAATGCTGATCCTACAGCGCCACACCAGAAGTCCTTATACTTGTTGTTAAGTGCTGTTGAGTTGGTCCTGACTCATAGTGACTTTCTATAGGGTTTCCATGGAGCAACTGGTGAGTTTGAACCAACAACCTTGTTGGTACAGAGTATTATCCTAACAGGAGTCCTTATACCTAGAACCTTAAAAACACTCATAATACTTCTTAATGAAACTTTTGTTTGTTTGTATTGTTGCTGTTGTTAAGTGCCATCGAGTCAGAACCGACTCATAGCAACCCTGTGTAGGATTTCTGAGGAGCACCTAGTGGGTTTGAACTGCAACCACACATTTAGCAGTTCAGTGCTTATTCTATAGCACCATACCAGGACTGTAATTTATGGGCCGTGCCACCTTCCAGAGTTCTGAAAATCTTGATTTAGTTTAGTAGACTTCAAGTTCAAAATATTAGTCTTTTTCATAAGTCAAATATAGTCTTTTTTTTCTGTGGGAAACTCTTGTCAAACATTTCAACTTGTCAGTAGAGCAAAAACTTACCTATATATGATAAAGCTTAACATGGCTCTAATTAATTTTTAATAGCATTTTAAAAGGTGTAATATTTTATGGAAATGACAGAATAATGTGAAGTCAAATATATTTCATTAAAATTTAGAAGGAACATGAGGCAAAATTTTTTTAAATACTATGATTAACCTTTGTAGAAAGCTTTAGATACAGTATATTATTAAATTAATAATAATTGAGTTACATTTGTAGATAAGCAGATGGATTTCAAAAAAATAGTTATGATTAAGTTGGCAATTAAAATAACTAACATTTTGAACACATTTAGAAAATTCTTTTGCTGGAATCTGTATTGCTAATAAATCAACTGAGCATTATTAGCTTCTTAATGCAAAGCATGTGGCTTAGCAAAATCCAATGTACCTTTTTCCAGAAAGTCAGATTATTTCAAGAATAAATTAAACCTGTAAATTAATAATACGAAGAAAATCATGTCATTTTAATGACAAGAAACCCAATTGTTTGTTAAATACTGTTAACATTAAAGCTTTTTAGAAGATCTAAAATCCAACTAATAAACTTCAGCTAGGATATAACTTTAAATATATCAGATCTTCTTACTGAATTTTAAAATATTGTTTCAATTGCATGTCCTACCATATAATCTTTTAAATGGGAAAAAAAATGAACATATTAATTTAGTAGACCTCAAATCATATATCTTTCCTCTTTAAAGCAAAAGCTTGTGAATTTTAAATTGTAATAACTATTTGTTAACTTAATTCAACATTATTAAACTTAAAGATCTTGAGATTATTCATACATTATAAAGTCTAATCACTGCTGAAATAAATGTTTGTTTAAATGTCTCAAGGCTTCTTTTAAACTTCCAGTTTACTATTATTACTTTTCAATCTAAACTAGGCTTCAGATTCTTTTAAGAAGGAACTCTGGTAGCATAGTAGTTACGAGTCAGGCTGCCAACCTCAAGGTCAGCAGTTCAAAACTACCAGCGGTTCCACTGGAGAAAGATGAGGCATTCTGCTCCTATAAAGATTTACAGCCTCGGAAACCCTGTGCAGGGTCACTATGAGTCAGAACCGACTCCACAGTACTTAACAACAACAACAACACCTAATCAGCTTGCTGGAGATCCTGGTGTGGCACTGTGGGTTAATGTGGTAGACTGTAAAGTCGGTTTGAACTGCAAGGTTGGTGGTTCAAACTCACCAGTTGCTCCATGGAAACCCTCTAGAGGGTCGCTATGGGTTGGAACTGACTCGCTGGCACTTAACAACAACAACAGTCAGCTTGCTAGACCCCTGGTGTGGCGCTGTGAGTTAGTGTGCTGGACTGCAAAGTCCATTTAAACCGTAAGGTTACCGGTTCAAGCTCACCAGCTGCTCCTCGGAAACCTTATACAGGGTTGCTGTGGGTCAAAATCAATTCAATGGTACTTAACAACAGCTTGTTGCCAATGTGGACCCTATGGAAGAAAAAAAGATTGTCCTTGTTATTAAGTGTCCTGGAGTCAATTACAACGCATAGGTTTTACGAGGAGCACCTGGTGGGTTTCAACTGCCGACCTTGTGGGTTTCAGTCTAGTGCTTATGGTTTGCAGTCCAGTGCTTCTCCTAAACATTTTCATGGAAGTTGACAGCCTCTTTTTCCTCTCTCTCTAGAGCAGGGTGGTTTTGCAGTTAACAGCCTAATATTTAACACATCGAGTCACAGGACTCCCTCTAATTCTTACCTTTTTAAAAAGTTATCCCTGGGTCATATAAACTCAGATTGAGTGTCCTCCCACAACATCTAGCTCACTACTAAAGATAAAATCCTTGGTTTGCTGATTCCTTGCATATTGGCCCAGGTTATTTGGAAAACAATGGGCAACCAAATTCTCTCAGGGGAAGCCATTTCTTTATTGTTGTTATTAAGTGCCATCTAGTGGGTTCCATGGAATATGGTGCTGTGGGTTAATGTGCTGGACTGCAAGGTCAGTTTGAACTGCAAAGTTGGCAGTTCAA